TTATCAGGCATGAGTGGGAAACTAGCAACAAGCTTTAAATCAAAGGTTCTTGATGGGATTCTGTTGAGGAGATGAAAGTGTGTTTAACTGTGGTCTTGATACAAGTAGTACAGTACGTAATCATGAAAATTGCCTAAATATTGGCATTTATAGCAAATCCAATTGGCCACGTGCTCTCACTTTGGAACCCAAACATACATACTCCCCTTAACCAGCAACACCCAAAACAATACTTCCATCCCAGAAGCAATTGATAAATGGCATTGAAAAAAGAAAGAAAGAAAGAAAGAAAGAAAGAAAGAGGTATTCAGTCATCTCATGTCCACCAGTAACGACCATATAATAGAAAAACTATGTGAATTTATCTCCTATTGCTTTCAAAAGAGAGAAGAAATCTTCAAGGCCTAGATTAGTTTATTCTCTTGACTAGTAGTTGTTAAAACTTTTACATTATTGTGTTATCCTTATATCCTATGTATAATGTTACCCAGACATACAGTACATGTACAGTAACATCACACTCGATCTCTAGCGGACCAACTCTCCTGGCATGTTATGTCTCTGTTTGTCCAATTTCTACTCTTTCCAGCCGCTTCTCAAAGCCTGGTAGAGGCTAAAGAAATGCCAGTCAGCTTTGAAGTCTGAACACTGAAAAGTTGTATTTGCATCAAATCGCTCATTCATCACAAAGAAACAAGAAAAAGCCGAACCCTTGTTACAGTTAGATTAGTTCTACATGTGGAGCTAATGTTTTTCTGTATCAGAGTAGTTTTACAGCTGATGTTGTTTAAGAGATTAGTATCAGTACATAGTCCTGTCTTTACTGCGGCCCCTTTACTGTGTACCTTAATGCGTCTGCTTACCTGTACTCAGCCCGATATGGCATGAATGTACAAAAAAAGGTATACCGTATCTGATTACATTTTTGTTGAATATCACAGGACGTGTGAATAAACATCTGCACCGCTGCGCTAAGTACGTGGCGTGGATGACCGTGTTCCTGGCGTCTACTGGCTCGGCGTTCTTCGTGCTGCTGTACAGCATGGACTGGGGGGAGGAGAGGAGCGGCACCTGGCTGAAGGCCTTCGTTCTGTCCTTCATGGGGTCCAGCTGTGTGGTGGACACTCTTCAAGTAAGGCCACGCCAATTTAAATTGTTGCTTCTTGGATTCGCCCGCTCCATTTTTTTCTGATTTGCAAAAAAAAGAAAAATTTGTGGGGTTCTAAATTAACTGCAAAATGCTTAATGAAAGACAGATTTTGTCCCTAACAGTTGAAAAAAGTCCTTTTCTTCCTAGTTCTTAAGTTTTTCAATGTAACAATGCAATTTTGTTTCATTAAAAGTTCAAAATCTAATAATTGTTTTAATTATAAACCAGCCTGGTAAGTTCACTTCATGGCTCACATTGTAACATTTCCGGCTATCATGGGGTGCCTTGGCCTGTTTTTTTTTTTTTCGCCCTTGTCGTCTCCTGATTTTTTCTGAAAAAATC